GTGGGAGGCTTCAACCTGAAGATAGAAATGTGTTGTACCGTTTTAAGGTGTATGTAATGGATATTAAGACTATCAGTTCTGAGGTGACCAACCTGGGTAGCAATGGTAAGAATTGTCTAGGAAATGAATGTGGCAACTGCAAAGCAACCCATAATTTTTGAGGATGGTTATGTATCAATTTAAGATAAATATCCCTGAAAATGTGCTGTATGTGCACATCCTAAGCCTTTAGAGAACTTGCTAGAATGGACTGTAGAAAGTCCTGTCTTAATAACTTGGAAATCATATTGGAGGAAACAAAGATCAGAAATTTTTGCATTAAGCAATAATCCTGGTGCAATGGGAAGTTTCATGGAGCACCAGGTGAGTTTGTAAAAATCTTCCTCTTGCAGGTCTGAAACTTGTTTCATTGGGATTTCTGTTAATCCTCAGGTTTTTAGGTGACAACGCCCCTTGAGCAAGTGTTCAGTCAGGGCACTAATTCTAGCGCGGGTTGTGTTTGAGGAACTGGCACTAGCCTTGGTAAGAAATGAAATTGGCTTGCCAGGGAGGTGAGTTTGAAAATAGCTTGGGTGCTGTGTTACCAAACTATTCTGGATTTTGTTCCTGCTTTTGAATAATTTAAGTACCCTCTGAATCCTCAGAATATAACATAACTATCTAAATATTGTAATTGTCTTAAAACATGTTCTTTTGTTCTTCCATGAGAGATGCTCTTCATATATTTCTCCATTCTTCAAAGCCAGGATAATTTTCAAGGGTGGATGACAAAATCAACTAGCCTTTCCTCGGGTGCAGAACAGACACAGGAAAAAGAGAGTGTTGCCGTAGAGTTGATGAAGCATGAAAAGGAAGTTGGAGTTCCTTCTAATGAACTTGGTTCAGCAAACGCAGCTACTGAACAGAAACAGGAATCTACATCAGAAATAAGAAAGGACTCTATATACAGAAGTACTGGGAGACCTAAAAAGACAGACATAATTAAATCACTTGTGACAGATCAGGATGCATCTAGAAACTGTAAACTATATCTGCCTGTGTCTAGTAATTGTTCAGCAGTGGAGTCATCTGAGGACAGGTGAGGATTTTTTTTTTTTTTAATATATTAACAGCTTTTCTAGAGAAAGGGAGGGGTACTTTCAGTTTGTGAAATTTCTTGGCAAAATTTCATGTATGTTAGTGTCATAGTGAAATACGTCTAAATGTCAAATCTTAAACTTTGAAGGCCACCTTCATCCTTTAGATACTGCTTTTTTTAATAGTGTAGTAGTGGTCGTCTTTCCCCGTCTAAGGGAATAACTGATGCGACGTTAAGCTCTTAAGGGTAGCAGAGCACAGGAAACTAAGAATTGAAGGCAGGTAGTCTGGTAGCTTGGTTTTAACCTTGTGAACGCTTTGCTAGGTGCAGTGCTGACAATCATAGAAGGCTTTTTTTAATCCTAACACTTCAGCTTTTTGTTTGTTTGTTTTTGTAAACCTCGTGCTATAGGCTGAAGTAAAAATTTAGTTGTGTGATTCAGATTTGACAGTAGAAGTCTTTATAAGAATATTTGGTATCTGGAGGAAGAAATAAATGTGGAGGTTTTAAAAAAAGATATTCCAAACTTCCAAAAACAAAATTAATGCACATTAAGAGTGACTTTATGTCGTTGAAGAATACATTAATAAAGTAAGAGAAGAAAGCGATTTCTAGTTAATCCTCTTTCTATAGGTAGCCAGTGGACTATTTTAGACAACATCCAAAATCTACAATAAGTGCTGACTTAGTGAAAAAGTCACTAAAAATAAGTACGTGTTTTCAAGGATGCTTTAAAAATCTTATTTCATCTAATATGTTAACATGAGTTTTTTAATATTAATGCATATTTAGCATTAATACACAGATTCATATAAATATGTATTAAGTGTATTTTGTATGTTGGCGAAAGTGTGGTACATAAGGATCTCTATCTTTCTGAATTTTTAAATTAGCTGCTACTTGGCATATTAATTCTATTTGATCTAATATGCCTTTACATGAACTATTAATAGCAATGAGTTTAATCTGACATTAAAAAAATTAAATATTCATCCCTTCATGATAATAAATGGAAGACTTTAAGCATTGCTTTTGCATGGTATCTTCAATACTGGGAGTTCTAGTCCTGCAAGTCTATTAGTATAAAACTATTTCTATTTTGCCCATAGTCCTTTCCCTTCTCTCCAGCTTGGTTTGCTTGCCGTCGTCTTAACTTGTTGGGGTTTGTTTTTTGTTGTTTGTTTTTAAAATGCAAAGCCCAGGATATTCTAAATAAAATCTGACATCCTGGTTTTTTCCTTGGTATCTTC